AAGATTTTTGTAAGCCTTGATTGAAACCTAACAAGCAATGATAAATGCGCGTCTCGATGATATGTATTCTACGCATGGGAGAGAAAGAAAAAAAGTTACCTACGGTTTCAACTCGAAGGCACTTAATCTTTCTCCGTGTGTATTAAGGGTAGGGGATGATAAAAAACATGTGTCGAAATGAACGAACGTCCCCGCACGATTTAATCTGCTGTGAGAAATATGAGAACTCGATAGGATAGACGACCGATATAGACGATCGATATAAACGATAGATATAGACGACGACACATCAATTATTGCTTACTCTTCCACGGTTTATGACCTTTCTTTGTTAGCCTTTCAAGTTACCTAAAGCGTAAGTATGTGCATTATTAAAAAATCAATACATAAGTGCATCAAATGTAATGAACTACTTTCTTATTTCTTCTCTCTCTCTTTCTTCGTGAAGTTAAGTAAACAAGACTAAAGAAAGAAGTTCTCAATACAAAGTTGAAGAATGCGAGGTCTTGAAGTCTTTTGCTCTTCTCTCGCCACCTCGTCTGTATAACTACTCCCTATAAAGCTCTTCCTCTGTAAAATATGGTATAAGTTTTAAGCCACCACCGACCGCTAGTTATATCTACCCTTTCTTTTCTACTCTTCTACCACCCATACAATCCTCCACCTCTGACCTTTACTTTTCGAGTAGAAAAACATTCCTACGAAAGAGCTTAAAACCTAGGAGTACTCGTTTCTAGTGCGTCGCATGGATTAGTCTGTCGGATAATGCAGAAAGCAGCAGTTGACTCGAAAATGTAAGATTTCGAGACAAAGGGATTCCCTCCTGGATTAACAAGAATACTTGACGAAGGACGTGTATCACGGAAATGTTTCTGAGTGGGTAGGAAATGGTGAACAGCAGAATTCTCCTAATGGCGTAAGAAGAAAGAGATTTGGTGAACTGGAAATTGTATAACAGGACTCTAACAATTCTATCATTTAATCGCAAACAGGTGTTAAATATTATTTGCATAATTTCTTTGTTCGATCATTACTACTAATAATTGTTATCGATCGTATCCTTTTCTTTTAATCTAATTGTAAAAATCCAATTTAAACATATGCACACACCGGTAGAACAAATTTGATCTCGCTCATTTCTGCATAAAAATGCACAATCAGTAAATACGAAAAGCATAACGATGGCGAATGGAATTTTTGTAAAATTCACGCTAAGCTAACTCGTTGGAATAGCAAATGTAGCTATTTCCGTATCCTGCAAATGGATCCTTTAATCAACAGGAACGAGCCAAGTTCGTTGAATTTCATGAAAAATCTGATTGGTAGCGGTGCGATTGTTTGTGAGAGTTCAAGTTAGCTGTGTTAGTGCAGATATAAAAAATCCAATCGCTGCTTGGAAGCGCCAGGTGTTTGCCTAATGAAAAGCATTGCGCAAAAAAAAACACGACACAAAAGTAAGAATGTAATTGCCGAAGGTTTCCGTCAAATAAAAGAAAAAGAAAAAGAAAAAGAAATGAAAATGACAAACTTCGTTTAGAGAAGATAGAAGCTCGCATTTAATTAAAGGCAAAGCATCAACATTATGATATACTAATGTAAACTTATGGAAAGAGGAGGATTAATCGAGAAACCCTAAACTATCATAGGTTATTTCTGTTCGGCGTTGTAGCTTCATCGAGAGACGTTTCTGCAACGGTCAGTAGACGAATTTTGGAAAATTCACACGGCCGATTCCCTGAGGGAATTGTAAATTCCCGGACAGCTACTTCGGTTCCGTTACGAGTGGGCGTTGCTCGACGTTCATCTCTCTTCTCATTCTCATTTCCTCATCCTCCCTCTTTCCCTCTCCCCGTCTGGCGTACACGCTAGCTTGCATTAGTTCACGCGCAAACGTTCACGCAAACGTTCACGCAGTCGCGAACGTCCGTGCGTTATGCGAACGTGCAAAGAACCAAAGTGGTGGTGGTCGGCTGGGGGTGGTTAGAGATAGAGAGAGGGTGCTTCAACACTGTGGTTTTCCATGGTGGCTATTCTATGAAATATTCAACACGGCCGCGGGCTACGTCGTCATAGCTTTTGTAGGAACGGAAAGCCAACGACGGCGACGAGGCTTCGTTCCCAACCAGACGGATGCATTATTTTTCTTCCTTTCTCGCCCCTCCTACGGTCAACATCCCCCTGACGCGCTAGCCCTAACGCGCTAACCCTAACGCACTAGCCCGATATATTGAAAAACGATGTCCCTTCCTAACTTCCGCGATAGCAAATCTTTTTTTCCTCCTTTATCTTTATTTCTTTTTTCTTTCCAGATAGAAAGAAAGAGATAAAGACAAAATGAAACAAGTGGGGAAAAATTTATCGTTGTAAATTGCTTGCTTGCACGAAGTATATTATTAAAACCGATTGCTATTGAACGTCGTCCAATTTGTCTAATAAAAGTTCGAAGAAAAGCGATTGGAAATTATTGATGCTCGAATATTGGGAGGCTTGTATCTTGTAGATACTTCAAGGAGAGAAAGAAGCTACGTAAAGACCTTTTTCAACCTGAAATCATTTTAATGAGATAGTCCTTTGGAGTAGAAGTCGTCAGGAGGAGGAAGGAGGAAAGTCGGAAGAAGAAAGGAACGTTGGGGTAAGGGAAATAGAAAGCATTATGCAGCAAGCAGACAAGCTCGGGCCTCCAGCCAAATAAGTAAAAGACTAATGACAAAAAGTCGAATTAAAATAAGAATCGCGTCGAGTGGCAAGGACACCTCAAGGATTTTCGAGGACCAACGACCGGAGCCAAGTACTCCCAATAAATTAAACCCCTTCCTTCTCTCGCGTGCAAAACGTTCTATCGATCTTCTTCTTCCCCGACGTAATGTCTTCGAATTTTCCTCTTGTTGTCTTTACTTTTAAGTATCTTCCAATCGTAAATTCGTATCATTGACTTCGTTTTCTCAAAGATAATTGAAATTCTTATACGTAAAATAATAAGTGGACTTATCCGTGGCAATACGCGTCGCAACATTTAACAGATTCTCCATTTCGAAATAATGCAAATTCATATACGACCACGTGCGTCATTCGATCTAAATCCAAATTGTTCTCTGATACCCACATTATACGGAAAATCGTGCATGATATTCCAATCATTTTCATTCTTACAAAGTCCCGATTGATATCAGATTTAATTAAACGTGATAATAATAGTAAGCTTGCTCGAAATAATTCGTTTTTTTGCAAACAACAAAATCCGCGTAATAAGCCGTATTTGATTTTCGGACGATTTTACGATTTCGACTTTTACTTTTTTCCCCGAGTCAACAAGAAAGGATCTCCGATAACAGCTTTGACAAAGGAGATCTTTTCTATATAGGTACTCTCGAAGGTCGGAAAAGGGAGAAGAAGGGTAGGTACCCTTTGCATCGTTAGACCAGGATCGTATAACTCATTTAACGTTAAAGGTGCGGCGGTTGGTCCATCGATAAAATCGTTTTAAATCGACTCGTCGGACACCGACGTCTCGACGAGTTATCTTTTATCTCACGACAGTTGCCCTTCAGATCCATTTGGCATAGAGCCACGTTTCTTCCTGCCCTTTCCGAAGGGTCGCTGCTTACTTTTGTCCGATACTGGGTGGCCAAGAACGAGTAATTATCTTCATCAAGGCTACCCACATCTACAATGCGATATCTCTTCGCATTTGATATGTTCTCATTAATATCAGAGTACGTACATTTGATCGATATAATGTTAAAATATAATATTACTTTAAAATTGTGTATATACTATTTTTCGAAAAAGAAACTAAACACGGGAGAAGAATAAAAGTTAGATTTAATCGATCGTCTCCTGGATCGAAACTTAGGAATGGCACGTGGACGATAACGTAATTATTCGGACACCCTGTATAGACGAAAGAGAGTCTCCTGTTATCGGAATTATTGGATTCTGGGCATCCTTTGGAAGCTTGTCTGAAAATGCTGGATGGGATAAATGCGGCGGCGGAGGCTGTCAGAAAAGTAGGAATTCCCTCGAGGTAATGTTGCTGCCGAAGGGATGAGAAAATGGCAGAGGGGTGGAGAGAAGAGCGGATGTGTTGAGGAACGAATGGACGAGAGGAAGCAGAGAGGATAGATCGCTGGTGCCAGCCTTGAGAGCGCCTCCATAGATCATAGGAAGTCGTTTTGAATAATTTATCGATCATGCCAACGTACCTGTCTTTTCACAGTCGAAACCACCATGATCTCAATCAATGAACATCAACTATATACACACATATTTCGATAAAATTCGACTTGACCTTGATTTTGCAACCACGGCTAACAAATTGAGCCTTTGAATTCTTAGTTATTTCATCTTCAACTAAAAAGAAGACAAATATTATAAATTGCTATTATTTTTAACGATTTACGAGAGATAACATTGTTTCTTTTTCTTTGTCGAGACGTTTGATGAAAGCTAATGCGGCAAAGCTAAGACAAGACAGATAAGACACAATTACATTTTCGTCTAGCCTTGTAAGGAGACATCCTTTGGGACCAGTCACGATTCACTGCCGCCGGTAATAACGTCGTGCCTTTTGTCCTCTCTTATTACCACCTCACTTCCGTTCTCCAAATCTCTCGTGATGATTATTAAGGTAACACGAACTCTTCGTTTTCAGACACGTTCCCGCGATTCTCCCTCGTCTCTCTTATCTTAATTCAGAAAGTTTCCCTTTGCCGAATATATTCCCGTTTCCAAAGCAGTCCCTTCAACCAGAAAATCAAGAATAATCTATCTTATTCCCATTTGATATTTCATCGTTACTCGTTACTCGTGCACAATCTCCTCTTGTCGATGATTTCGATAATATTGTTTATGGGCCTTATTTCTTACACCTATTACTCTATACAAATATACATGATTTTTCATTCCTATTATATTATAAAGTACACGGTTAATATTGTTGAAAGCTTTCGTATAATGTTACAGAAATATAAATACATAGATTGCTTTTTAAAAAATGCACAGAAATGTGGATATTTATATTGTTAATTATTTAACATGGGACCACGATGTTGCAAGGTCCGCTCCTGAACGCTTGTACTCGCCACTACGAGACACAGTAAAAGCTAAGGTGGGGAGTTTATAGTCATCGCCGTTTCTCACACTAACCAACGCCCTATGAATGACGTCAGGTACATATAGTGTGCATACGATCGTCGTAGCGTGTATACCGCGTCCTTTGAGGAAATCGACAAGTCCTCGTTCGTGACGCGTTAAAATGTCGATCGATAAAAAAATCGTAAGCTTAATTTGTACAGTGTTACTATTCGCGACGATAGGTAAGAATAAAGTCGTCGCAAATGTCTAATATTGTGAGTGAATCGTGATGCTATTCACGAATAATGGCCGTTCGTGAATGTCGAGCCATCTCCATGTTGGAAAACAACAGCGCCCCGTTGTTTTTCTTTACAATTTTTTCATTTACAAAAAATATACTTTCATCATTTTTTTCATTATCAAATTAATTATTTAATTAATGTATAAACATTTCAAACAAACTCATATATATATACACGCATTCTAATTTTTCTACTTAATAATTCATTAACTAATTAAGATTCTTTATACAATTGGAAAAAATATATATATCTGAAGTACTTGCACTTTAAACGTTTTGACCTGTTGAATCGTAAAATCTCTTAATGAAATAAAAATAATGGGAGTGTTCTACCAGTATTGAAAAATATTTTTTGCGATTAGGATGCGAAGCTATTCGGTGTTACCAATGCAGCAGTGATACTGATCCGGAAGGCGAAGATCTTTGTGGGGCTTATGGAAAATTTGATAAAGAGAGGAACATTCCTGTAGAATGCAGTACCGACGAATCTCACACGATTGGTACATTTTGCGTCAAGTTGACGCAGCAAAGTCCTCGTGGCTTCATATGTGAGTATTAATATTTCATTGATATTCCTTGAAATTGTTTGAAATCACAGTTATCGAAGCGTATCACAATTTGCCCTTAAAATATATAAAAAATTGATATTAAACACGCTTTATTTGACTTTTTAATCAAATAAATTTACGTTCGAGGAAATTAAATTAACATACCAAATTCACATTTGAATTTTTGCTGCACTATTTTCACTGGTTCACGACGTTTTACACCTGTGTTTACCTATTTATCATTCTTAAAGGGAACGGTAGATGGCGGCAAGTGATACGAAGGTGTGCATCTGTTTCCAGTACCGGAGTTACAGGTGTCTGTAATTGGGGGGTCTACGAGAATGGAGTCTATTGGCAAGAATGTTCTTGCTCCGAAGATTCTTGTAACGGGGCATCTTCAATTTCTTCGCTTTCTACGATAATCTTTGTTACCTTAAGCGTTCTTCTTTCGATCCTATTTACAAGATAAATTAGAGCACCACGCGTCTACTGAAAGATAAATATTTAATCTCGTTAGCAACGAAAATCCGTCCACAATTGTAATACTATTTACAAAGTATTGAAATATTTTAGATTGATAAGGTTACTCGTTAGAGAATTTTAGTCCTGAACGAGGCAAATTTGTTAAAACGAAAACTCATTGATATATACATACATATATTATTTTTATATATATATATCTTTCATTTTTATATTTTTATATAAAGAATTTAGAAAAAAAAGGAAGAAGATGGAAATAAAATAGATTTGAAATCTACGTCTTCTTCGTTAGTTTGTACATAAGATTAAATTTCGTTAATGACAATTTCGTAGAGATATATATATATATATATATAAAGCGTTTCGCAATTAATTTTTCTTAAAATAAATTCTTTCGTGTCCTTATATTAATGTCATTTAAGTTTAATAATACTAATAATAGACAATCGAAGATCATATTCTATTTAGGGAATTGATTCAATCGACAAACGATCCAGCTAGATGATTGTCCTTGATAATTAGTATCAAGAGACAAAAGCACGTAATTAGTACAAAACGGATTAGTAGCTACGATCGGCCTAAGATCGATGGACGAAAATTCGATTCGCTGATCGCGCTAGTAAACACGTAGTTACGCCAAAATATCAACAATATTTATGTCATCCGTGGCAGCTGTTGCAATTAATTTTCCGTAAAAAGTAGCAATCGAGAGAAATAAATATTAGTCAATATCTCTCGAAAGACTTGTCTCGTGCCTGTACATACAATATACTGCCTGCATACAATATGCGTTTACGCATACATAAATAAATATACGTATATCATAAAAATGATCTTTGTTCATAGAGTAAATTTATGTCAGATATTAAATCGTCATTTTGTTGGAACTAATAAATAAAAAATATTTATACCATTTACCGCATGTTTCGTATTTTCGTATCTTTTGTAAAACGTTCACGTGTAGTCCATAAGGTTTAAGTCTTCCATGGTTATATCGTTAGGATCAACTTGGATAACATCGATCAGTATTTCGAGCGACAGGTGGCCGTACGAATCCTACTTGATTCATAATCGCTAGAGGAATTTTCGATTTTCTGAAACAAAACAACAAAGTTAGATAAAGGGGGGTTTAGAGAGAAAGAGAAAGATAGAATACACACCCTCTTTGCCACAGTATACATCACGTTATAACGCCGGAAATTCGGTGGTCGCGAGTTAATTACGTCACGTGAGACTATTAATGCCTTGGCAGATCCAACACCGCGGTACATACAATGGCACGGCTGTGTTTAGGTTCTCTTACCCATATATTAACGTCGCGACCCATGCCAACCCTCGTTACTTGAGACGTTATAATTAAGACCGTCCGCTTCGACCATCTCGGACGTAGCGATTTGCAACTTTGGTATTTGACTTTGTTCCTACAAGCGCTCCTATCTGTCCATTAGAAATTACCGAGAACGAGACGTCATTTTGCGAATGAAACGATTAATTAAAATGACTAGGACGAACATTCCTTATAATCCTTTCATTTGAAAGATCAAATACTTACAATAATCGTCTGAAGTCATTAGCAAAGTTCCAAGCGAAGAAAGACGAAGGGGTAAAGGATAGTCCATCGGTGATTTTCATTGGGTCGACCTTAGTGCACTTAATTTTCGGAATAAGAGTCTCTCCATCTCTCTGCATTTAGGTCGTTATTACATCAAGGCGCGCTTAATTAGCTCTCGCAAGGGGGAAAGTGTTGCGCGCTTGGGCGTCTGCTCGCAACTCCGTAATAATATAACCTCGTATCTTCATAATGCGGAAAACACTTTTCAACGTGGCTGCCGCACAAGTGAACACCTATATACGAAAAGGGGGAATCTTTCGTCGTTTAAATACCACACCGGGTGTGTTCCTCTTAAATCATTTCTTTAAGAACCTCCTTTAATCTGCGAAAAGAGTAGAACGTTACTAATAACAATCGCAGTGCTTATCAGTGGATACAATGTTAAGGAAAATTAAAATTACTTTTCCTGTTTGTAGACTTATTATAAATTTCATAGATTCATCAAAAGATTACATCAGATTTTGTGGTGAATCATCATTAAGCTAAAAATTCAAACGAACAAGTTCGAATAATTGAAAATCATTTTCCATGGATCTAATGGAAAAATCTGTAGAATTTTAATGCTTCGATTTTACCTGTAATCGTTTTCTCCAACAATTATATTCAAAAAAAGAGGAAAATGGGAAAAGAGTAAAATTGATTCCAGCATTTCGTATAAATAAATTTGTAATATTTAACGATCATCACTCTTATAAACTTTCCAAAATAAAAATATTATTAAATAAAAGAAGAATATAATTATTGTTTTCTATTCATCACCTGGGATATTATTTAAACAAATGAACCAATAGAATTCGTTTTATTATTTTTGCATTAAATTGGCAAGTTTGGGCGCCGTATTAAAATTCTTTGAAGTTTAATACACATTAGAGCGTTTGAATGGCGCACAATTTACCGCGTAATTCTCGTTCCTCCCGTTCCTCTCGTTCATCCATTTTCCTTCCTTCTCTTACTTGCTCCTTCTCTCTCTTCCTCATTACTTCATATTCCGTCCGTTCCTTCCATTTGACCTAGTCGAAAAGTACTAAAAAAATTCTGTTTTCACGAATAATCGTAGAGGTTAGGATTCATGCACGCGGTTAAATGTGTTTCGTATTGCTTTTAAGAATTGTAAAGTGAATTCTTTTGATATTAAAGCGTGAGGAAAATGAATGTAGCAGATGGACCCGGATTTTCTCGTTATGAGATTTTGTTGTTAGCCGCAAGACTTTCCTTCGTAACTGCGGTGGGGTTTTTCACAATGAAATGGTTCGTCCATCAACTTGATCCTACGAATGCAGCTAAGAAAAGAGCTAAAAAAAAGGTGAGTCCTTCTTTTTCCATACACTTACTCGATAAAAGTATTTCCTATCTTATTATTGTCAGTTTTCTGTACTGTTAGATAAATCTAACCTATATCGTCTAAGATACAGATATATAATAAAAAATATGATTGCTTTCGTTTATTACTCAGACTCGAGAACAATTGCGTAAGCTTGCAAAGTCAGATGGTGTTATATTATCCGTTGATATGGATCAATTATCAGATTATGAAATCATAATTGCTAGTCATTTAGTCGATCCTCAAGACATCAAAGTATCATGGGAGAATATAGCTGGATTGGAGCATGTTATTCAAGAACTTAAAGAGACGGTTATACTCCCTATACAGAAGAAAGAGCTCTTTTTAGATTCTCAATTGACACAAGCTCCAAAGGTTTGTAAAAGTAATGCATCATCTTAGCGATATTAACAACGCATCATGTCTGATAAATGTCTCTTTCATTCAGGGTGTCTTGCTACATGGGCCACCAGGTTGTGGCAAAACTATGATCGCAAAAGCTACTGCCAAAGAAACTAGAACTCGTTTCATTAATTTGGACGTTAGCATTCTTACCGATAAATGGTATGGAGAGAGCCAAAAATTGACTTCTGCTGTATTTTCTTTAGCTGTAAAACTTCAACCATGCATCATCTTTATCGACGAAATAGGTTAATTGAATAAACATTAGAATTTTGTGTGATTACACAATGATATCTTACTCTGATGTATTATGTATGTCTCGTTATCTTCGACTTCATCAGATTCCTTTTTGAGAGCACGCAATTCGCAAGATCACGAAGCTACAGCTATGATGAAAGCGCAGTTTATGTCAATGTGGGATGGTCTAATAACAGATCCATCTTGTACCGTCATTATAATGGGAGCAACAAATAGACCTCAAGATTTAGATCGAGCTATTCTTAGGCGTATGCCTGCCACATTTTATATAGGATTACCTGTAATACATGAATTGTATATTATTATTTTTTGATATGTTTATTTGATACTAACATCAATATGTTTCATTGCTATAGAACGAAGAACAGAGAGTAGAAGTGCTAAAGTTAATTTTACAGCATGAACCGATTGCAGAAAACGTAGATATTAAAAAGATAGCTAAAATGTCGGAAGGTTTTTCTGGCTCGGATTTGCAAGAACTATGTAGAAATGCATCTATATATCGTGTCAGAGATTATCTACGAACACATACGTTGTAAGTATTGGCTCGTGTAATAGCTTAAAAAAAATATCTTTTTTGAAGAACTTGGAAATATTTCAATCTTTTCATATTGTAGTGATCTAAACGAAACATGTAATAATGGTAGCACAGATGAAGAAGAATTCCATGATACCGTACGTCCTATAATGATGGAAGATCTTCTCGCGTCCCAGAAAAAATTAAAGGCATCTAAGATGCATACAGGAACCTTAAATCCTGTTAAGTTAGATTTAGATTAAATACAAGAGGATCGAGATTGTTGGCACGTATAACATTAACTAATTTTTATTTAATAAGTCAAATTATGTTTAATCAAACAAAGATCTTGTTTGAACACTTTTATAATTGCGCTCTATCTTTTCACGGTTAATTAAATACCTGCAAATTTTATGATATACAATTAACATCAAATTGCAATTGTTGAGATATGTGGAACCTTATGAGAATTTGTTTCTTTTTTTTTTTTCTTTTTTTTATGAAAGCACAGAAAGAATCATTAAACTTTCTCGAAAAATTGAGTGTGTTCAAAATACTAAATCATCTTCCATATCTATATTTAAATTACCAAATTGCATTTACATGGCATCTTCCAACTATCCTATTATTGTTTTCAGAGTTTACGTAATAGGGATGAAAAAAAATATTCACATATGGAAATTTGATCATTAGAAGTATAAAAATATTTATTGGTCGTTGAGAGAGAGGAAGGTGTACTTTTCGTGAATTTTGAATTATATAATTCATAAAATCAGACATCTTGTATTATAAATGGCAACATAAAACTGTTCTGAGTCCTATTAATATATAACTAAATATGTAACTAAAGAAAAAAAAGAAAAAACATGTATGTATCCATTGTATAGAATCAATTGTGTTTTTAAGACAGTAATATATTATCTATTATTATAATCACACTAAGAATACATAAATTAAACTTAAGATAACTACTTTTCCTTTTAATTTAAATGTTGTTGCATCTTGGACAAATGCAGATTCAAGTTTTTTTCTTTTCTATAATCTATTATTTTTCAGATTACAATATCGTTATATTTAAAATAAAAATGACATTTAGGTAAAATAAAATCATAGTACAATGTAAAATATTGGAATTCTATTTTACGCAAAGTTCATGCTTACGTAGTTAAAAAGGAAAAGATTTTATCTACGATATTCTATTTGAGATTGATCGATCGTATATTAATATATATCTTAATAGAATATATACGTCATCTAAGAAAAAGTTTTTGCTCAATTTAGGTACATTAATCGTTAAGTTTCATTATCTAATACGTCAGTGAAAAGGTTTACCTATTTAAATCTAAAGATATCTTAAGAAAAAGAAGTTTCAAATATGGCACAAATTCCAGTGTTCTCGTGTCGAAACATAATGCGAAACAAATTAATATTATCTTTAATATAACTATAATATAATAGACAGGGCTTTGTTTTCGAATCACTGCGAAAATTAAATGTACGTAAATAAAAAAGAAGAAAGTTTTTTACATTCCGGTGTTCAATTATAAATCCATAATTGTAAAAAAATGTTAGCTCCTAAAACAATTATAAATTATAAGTGGAAAATTTGTGCGAATAATCAAATGCGCAATAGTATTCGAATTTGAAATTGGCGGCTTGATGTTTATTGGTCAGTGCAACGCATATCGATTATAACCGGCCAATGATCGAAAGAGAAAGGATTGGGTTGCGAGCGTATGAAGATTCGCGAATGATATCAAAAAGAGTTGGGCTGATTGGCCAGCGAGTAGAAAATGAAACGCATGCGCGCAAAGTGAGACGGTCGAGCGCCCTATCATCGTTCGGTGAGAATTTCCAGGAACGAAACTCGCCGAGAAAGAAAGATAGAGAGAGAGAAAGCAAGCCAGGACAAAGCCTCTACCCTCCCTTGTAATGCCGCGGTGTAAGCGGTCTATCGACATCATTCATTCTCCTCCGTACGAGAAACGACTGTGGTGCATGCACACGACATGGACGCGTCATCGTGAATGGCGCCGGTGGTGAAAAGTTTCGCTGTGCGAGTTTTATCAATCGTAATTACGTTTAACAGTCGCCTATGGAAGAAGCAGTATTTGAGATGGACGCTTACGAGGAGTAACACCACTTCCGTTCGCTAATTAACTCTGCCTTTTCGCTCCCTTTTTTCTTTTTCCCCGTTCTTTTTTTATTTCTTTTTTTTCTCTTTTGGTTCTCTTTCTTTTGGTTTTTCCGTTTCCTCCCCTCTCTTCTCCTTAGTTAGCGGTTACTACACATACGAAGCATCTCGATACTACATATACATATTTCACGCTCGTGATTAGGAGTGCACGATCGAGAGGCTAAAGGAACGCGGAGGGAAGCAAAAGAAGAAACAGAGGAAGAGAGAGAAAGAGGGAAAGAAAAAAGAAAAGAAAAAAGAAAAGAAAAGAAAAGAAAAGAAAAGAAAAGAAAAGAAAAGAAAAGAAAAAGAAATGCGCTCCGAAGTAGAGAGATGAACGTGGAGAACGGCTAAGATTCCAGTATGAGTGTCCATAAAAGCGGACGACGAATATCGACGAGACTCGCTCAGTTATAAAGTGGACAGAGACAGCCGTGCGCTGCAACACACCTGCACGGTGTGCACGCTCCGATGCGTTGTTGGTGAGTGTGTGCGTCTACTGTCTTTCTCTTTCTCTTATTCTATCTATATCTTTATCTATCTATCTATCTATCTACCTATCTATCTACTATATACCATCTATCTGTCTGTCTCCCTTCCACGGCAGGCGCGTGTGTGCGCGGTTGGCTGCTGCGTACGCGTGCGTGTCCCCTCTCATCGCAAATCCCGCTATATTCGGTGTGTATAGGTGCACGCGTGAGGAGAGCTCACGTACGTTGACATGAGTACATTGGTGTCAGCATCTTCGTAACATAGCGAAGCGAACAAACGTGTTTATATATTGTTGTTGCATCCTCTACGAGAGATAAACGTATGTATACGTGTGTCACTCACAGTAGTAACCACCACCATCACTGTGATCCTACTGTGTATGTAGTGTGCGCAACCGCTGCGCGCGACCAACACGCATGCACGCGCGCGAGTGCCAATAAGTATAGTTACATATGTATATGTGAAATGAATATGTGTGCCTTGGACGCGAGTAAGCGTCCTGTATCGTACGTGCAGTACGGTGAGCAAGTGTTCCGATTCTGACACGATGACATGATCGTGCTGAGAAAACGTGGGACGATAGTGAATACGTGCGCCCTCCGCGAGTGCTTACACAGAGAGACACGCTCTATCCTAAGATTCTCTTATCTTCTTCTATACTTTACCGTTCTTTCTCCTTCTACGATCTAAAGGGCCAACTCTTATCCGTAACACACGGATTTCGAATTAAAAGTCTGTTGCGTTTCCTCCTTGCAAGACACGCCGTGATCTCTCGTGTTGGAGAATGAATCAAGAGAGATAGAGAGAGAGAGAAATAAAGAAAGAAAGAAAGAAAGAGAGAAAGAGATAGAGCGCGCGTGTGTGCGTGCGAGAGAAAAAGAAAAAGAAAGAGTGAGAGAGTTGAAAAAGAGAGGGAGAGAAAGAAAGAGTAAGTGAGAGATTGATAGCATGCGAGAAAGAGAGAGAGAGAAGTGGATATCGATGAACATGGTTCGAACGTTTCTGGCCGGTTTTTCAACGAGCACGAAAGATCGCGGATCTTTCGATACGAGAGTCGTGTCTCTTTCGTGTAAAGTTCGTTAAATTTGATGAGAGGAATATGTGATAAAAGATCCCTTCGTCTAAGAGACGAGAAAGCTCGAATGATGTGCCAGTGAAACTGGCGTTTAAAAACGTATCGTCCGTCGAAGAGGCTCTCCGGCATTGCAAATGGTGCTTAACCTAACCTATCGTTCGTTCTCCGCTCGTCGTCATAGTTTTTCTCAGTTCGGAACGTATTCTTTTGAGATCATCCTTCAGGAACTTGAAATTGGAAAGAGAATCTGCTAGACCGAAATCGGACTTCTGTTTTGCATTCTTTATTGTACGGTAATTTTTCTTATTTATCGAAGAACATCGATTTTTTGTCAGCTCCTCGATATATAAAGTCGATCGTGCGATTACGATTCTAGTTTCCTTTTTTTTGGTTTCCTCTCTTACTCCATAATTTTGTCTTCATAGTTATTAAACTTTCTATCGTGAAAAAGATAGAATTTTTATCTCCAATTGTTTGTTGACGATCTCACATCTATACAGATAAAAGCTGTCTTTAATTTGGAGCAGCATGTGCATTGATATTTAAATTAAAAACTGATTTTCGGTATATGATAAACTTTCAAGAGAAAAAGATTTGCATCTGTGTCATAGCAACATAATGTTTCTTTTTTATCTACTCAATTGATCATTCTAAAAGAAAGTTATTGTATCATTGTGTTTGTCCTTTGACAGTATTTGTAGTAGTCATTTGTATCAGTGTTTGGTGAAAGCTCTAAATGGGAATATAAGGGAGAGATTTGGAACGCTAGGTTTTTGTCATTATAAAATCTTTGATTTTGGAGTAAAAATGATTTTGGAGTAGAACGGGTAGTGTATCTTCATGGTTTGTGCTGTGCAACATCGTTCCGTTAAACAAAGCTCTAATTTTTGTGTAAGCTGATCTTTCGATACTTGTGTCGAACTGTTGATGGTGGTGGTGGTCATATAGTGATGTTACAAAGCAAATTGTGATAGAGTTACCGAATGTTATGGAAGAAAGATAGACAGTCTCCATCAAATGATTAATAAAAGGGACACATGCTCTGAGAATTGATGGGTTTATGCTTTTCCTGCAGGAGACCTACTAGTAGCAGGTTGAACAGTAAGATCTCTGAGCACATTTCGGCTTCTGTAACTCCGCTCCATGTTTGTCTGGAGGAACAAAGAGGACCAGAACTGGGCTTATGTGACGCCTCAGCTCACAAGCCACAGGTACATTTTTTATACTTGATATATATTACATTTTGAAGTTATAGTATTCATTATCAATGATTTTTATTAGATTTATTGTGCTTTAAACAGGTCAAAAAGGTTTCTGAAAATTACAAAGCACAAGAAGAGGCTGCAGAGGAAAAATTGGAGATTGGACTAGTTGTAATTGATATCGAGGAGGTGGAGCTAAACCCACCTAGCATGGCCAATACTATTAGTAATATGAAAATGACTAACCCCATAAAGGGGCTTGTCAGCAAACGTCGTAAACGTTTCAAAGAAGATGGCTTTGATCTTGATCTCACATGTAACCTTTTCAATATATCATTTAAACGATTTATTGATAAATATTCATTGTATATAGGTATGAAATGCATTATTATATTTCCTTAACATTATTGTAAACGAATAGATATACGAGATAATTTAATAGCTATGGGGTTTCCTGCTGAAAAGTTGGAAGGAGTATACAGAAATCATATTGATGACGTCGTCAAACTGCTGGAATCTAAACATAAAGATCATTATAAAATTTATAACTTGTAAGCATTATATTTTCATTTGATTTCATTCTCTTGTATTTATTAAAACATAAGAATTGTTTTCAATTCTAGATGTTCCGAGAGGTCCTATGATTTTAACAAGTTTAAGCAAAGAGTTGCTACATACGCTTTCGAGGATCACAATCCACCAAGGTTGGAACAAATCAAGCCATTTTGCGAAGACGTACACAAGTGGCTTTCTTTGCATAAAGAAAATGTAGCAGTAGTACACTGTAAAGCAGGTAAAGGACGAACTGGCGTTATGGTATGCTGCTACCTTCTTCACAGCAAACAGTTTTCCACTGCCACGGATGCTCTTAACTATTATGGTACCAAAAGAACACACGATAGGTAGGGTTCTTGATCTACCGTTTCACTCTGCGCTGATGATATTATTATTCTTTAATAATGGTGATACATAATATCAAATTTTGTAATTAGGAAAGGAGTAACAATACCTTCTCAAAGGAGGTACGTGAGTTATTATGCTACTCTCGTTCAAGAGGGTCTAAATTACCAGCCAATTACATTAATTCTACGGAAAATTCAATTGGATCCAGTTCCCATTTTTAACGGGGGCCAAGGCTGTAAGAATAGTAATCATTCATATTATTCGTTTTAACTTGAAAATAAAATAATATATCCTAATCTATAATTTTTCAAAAAAATAAAATCTATATTTTCATAGATCTGCATTTTGTAATATCAGAATCAAATAAGAAGGTATTTAGTTCAGAAGTTCATGAGGTACGAAAAGGAATGCATTCTATTTGTATTCCATTACAACATAATGTGCCTCTAACAGGTGATATTCGAGTGGACTTCTATAATAGGCCAAAAATGAAGAGAAAGGTATATAGCTATAATGTCATCTAACAAATATTCCTTTCACGAGTGTTAATCAAATTGAAAATGATTTGATTTGTTCTTAGGAAAAGCTGTTTCACTTTTGGTTTAATACATTTTTCGTACGCGAACACGTGTCATCCGAATACGATAACGGCGAATTACCGGTTGAACGATCTACGAGGGCATTGAGCTGCGACGGTACAGCCATGGAATTACCGATGGTCATGTCACACGTTAAGCCTCGAACAGGATCTCTAGCTAGCCTTGGACCCATGCCACCTACTCTTGTTTTGAACATAGACAAGTGGGGCTTAGACGACGCACATAAAGACAAACATGACAAAATCTACAGTGCAGATTTTAAAGTAAGTTAATCGTTGATCGCGAAACAATATACTTTTTCAATGAATACCTTGTAATACTATTCAATTATCTCAGGTTAGTTTATTTATGCACCGAGTTGGTGGAAGTAATTCGCCGGCTGTGCCAGCGACAACGAATAGATTGGGAGAGGGTGTACAAATAGGAATGGGTGGTCAAGAAACGCCCAGTGAATCCAGTGAAGCAGATAGCAGTGAGTGCGATACAACGGGAGACGAAGATGGTTGGGAATCTGGTGAGTCTTCTGCATCTCTGGTGGTGAATCACCACAATCTTACACACAGCAGTAGCCATACACATGTTAATACCCACCAAAGAATTAGTCTCAGAGAAACAGCTAAAGGTCTACTCTCGCGTGGAGATAAAAGTAGGGGTAGTCCTAGGCAAAGCACTGCTAGTGTAAAACGTTCTTCAACGTTTGTACGTTCATCCACGTTAGATACATAGTCGATTCGCTGCTTTTGGTACTTAAAAACTGAGTTCTTTCAACTGGCATTAAACTTTGCAGATTTATATAATTCCAGTTTTTGGGATTTTCGAAAGGTTTTGTAGTGTATATATATATGTATATATATATATATTTATATATACACGCAATTGCTCGATAAAAGAGTACAATCTAAAGACATTTATTATTTGACTTTTCCGCACTATTTTCAGCATGAAATGTGGTTAAGCATCTATTCAAAATGTATTATGATTCTTTTTTATTTTGATCATGGTTGGAAATTCTTGCAATCCCGTTTTTTATGACACACGCTTTTTATCGATCTTTCATTGAATGATTAGTTTTATTAATTTCTTTTTTTTTTCTATTAATTTTGTAAATAATAATGAGAAATTTCTTGGATAGTTGTAATTAAAAATAAGAGAACGGAAACGATGAATTTGTGCTGATACATATTTTTGTAGGAAAGTTAAAACGACAAAGGCAATATATCCATCTCGTCTTTGAATTAATTTAATCTATCCTTTCGTGCAAAGCAAAAAATATGATGGTACGATATTTAAAAATATACAAATCTTACCAGAGCACAAAGTTAAAAGTTTTTATTGCACTATTATATTATTTGCATGTCTTACAGTAACTCCTTGCCTTCTTTTTGGGTATTGGATTATTAACAACTATTGATAAGTAATTAAGAATCTATTTTTAATTGATTGTCTCATTGACTATTCTATCTGTTTCTACAGTATTAAGTGTTTAATCCAACTTGTTTTGAAAAATTTTATTAAACTGCTTCTGAAATTATGAAATAGGGTTATTGTGAATAGTCAATCTTCGATGTGGTAGTTCTTGCCCATCAGCAAGTTTGTAATTTCCATGTGACATATTAATATATGATATAGTACATTTCAATTATATGAAATACGATGTTTGTTGAATTTCTTGCTATACGCGCATATAGTGAAATTACAAACATTATCGATTTTATTAGTTTATAATACAAGATGTCTATATCTATTCAGGCATAGAAATACTTGTCAAATTTAGGTTTCTATTTCTATTAAAAATAGAGAGTTGATAATATATTTAAAAGAAAAATTATATTATAGGGATGATCGTACTTTGGATATACCAAAGTCTATTTGTGTATATAGACTGTTACAAATAATTGAATAATAATAAGAGTTTGTATAAAATAACATTGACAATGATATATATATCAAAAGATTTCTACTTGTTTTTTTTTTTTTTCTATTTTTTATCTTTTAAACAAAATTTGTCGAAACCATCAGGCTGTGCAATGTTTCAACTTTTATTCCTTAATATCTTCTACAGAACCAAACATTACTTTACTATGAAAACACGTTTTATTTAAATAAAAGAAATCCTGTATTTCGTATACACTACACATCTTGATAATTGAGTCGAAGGGAGCACTATAAAGTGTTATATTTGGAAATATCTAAGAGATACCTGATAACAAATATGCTAATATAAAAATAATAAGTATCTTCATTGCACATTTCATTATTAAGTTATATAGAGAGATATAATTGGTGTTATCAAAAGATAATCTCTGGTTACAAATATTGAACAGCGCGTATAATTCTAAAATACGTGAGTATTTATATAAATACTATAAAATATACAATTTTAAAAAGCGGTCTTAAAATTGATATTTTATACATGTTCAAATTTGTGATCATTTAATATTAGAACTCTATGCCTGTCTGCAAAGTGAGAACAGGATACAAATTTAATTCTTATTTTGAATTGTATAAATTTAAATTATATTATATTATATTGAATATTAATAATTTTCGGTTAGGCTGGTGCTTACTTATTTTAAGCAAAAAGTTGAAAAATCAGTTTATAAGGGACCTACAGAACTCAGACTTAACAAAAAAACAATTAGAATTTAGTTTATCTACGAGAAATACTAAAAATATATGAATTAATTAAAGTCGTCTTTCGTAATGTCTCTATTATATATATATATATAAATATATATTTCTCTTTTTAATATATACAAAGATCACACACAAACACAATTTTAGCTTAGTTTATTGTTAAAAAGCGAATAATGATGTTTAAGTACTACAGATTGATAATAAATCAAATACAGTCTGGCTTTAGGGTCTTTATTGGTTGGAAATAATTGGAATTTCATTCAGGAGCATGTTTCTAAAATGTTGTATGCATGAATTTATTGTAATGTTGATTTTTCGATTTGGATAAAAGTATAGTTATTCTTTGAAATTTATATTTATTTTTATTTTATTTTTGTTTTTTTTATAAACGTCCTATTTAAAATATTTTTTTGCAGAAAATTAATTTTTCTTATGAACTTATTTATATTACGTATAATTTATAAAAAAGAAAAAACACAAGACATATTATGTTTCTATATGTCATACAATATGTATGTACAATATATACATATACATATATTTCATATTTTTAAAGTTATATTACATAAAAAAAATTTTGTATTTATATGAGATATATATCGAAATGAATCAAACTTTTGTATAAATCAAACGGATAAAGTACAAAGGTGTATTACATTAATACGTTTTTATTGTTAAAGAAAAAAAAAAAGAAAAATGAAAAATATGACACGCAACATATTTCAATATAGCGTAAGAGCATATACAAAAAATAAGTGTAATTTTTAAAAGGGTATCCCTGAAGCCAGCATTGTTAGGTTTTTGTTTACCTAATCACAACAATCTTGTAAATATATATTGTTAATTACTATGAATGTATATTATTAGTAACAATTGATTTTTGATAATAATACATTCACAATTGTCAAGATATGGGGCTTAGATTTTCACATACATTTATATATTTGTTTTCTATTTTTTTTTAAATACTATTTCTTATTAATATTAGTAATTAGTTCTTTAAACTTAACTTTGCTTTTTACATTGTACAAATGTACAGTCAAAGGTATAATTTTGATATATTTCAAAGTAAACTGCACGATTATATATTCTATTGTTCTTATTATGTCAATACACATAAAAAAATCTCTATTTTTCCTTAATGCTTTTTAGGAAAAGTTTTAAAATATGCCTGTTATGTTGAAATATCAGAGCCCTATAAAATTTATCTTTTTTTTTTTTTTTCTAATTATTGTATTATATATATATTGCATGTTGGTAATTTATAATAAAAATTCAGAAGTTTAAAGAGATTGTTGTATAATTGTATAATGTCAAACATAAGATCTGTGAGACACATTTATTAACAATTATGTAATAATTATTTTTGTGATACTATATATATGTATGATTATTATTATTATTATAGTTATTATTATAATTATTATTATATAATTATTATTATTATCTCTATACCGTTGTTATATTATAATTATTATTATGTCCACCATTCTTATTACAAATGCTACTGCTGTTACTACAATACTATTATTCTCGATATCACCATCAGAGACATACATACCTGCTATTATTATCACAATTAAACTGTTAATGGTTTTTAAATACAATGTTGTGTTACAAGCGTACTTTTGTATTTCATATTTTACAAATAAGAACTTGCACGCACATACATATATACATGAGAATGTGTCTACAATGTATTCATGTCTCCTACTTTTTTACAGAATGTATAATACATTATTATTATCTCGTCGATCCCCCCCAGTGATTTGAGTATCAATGATTAGTTATAATAACGTATAAATATTCAATTTCTATTTTTTAGCCATCTACGCTATTACAATATTTTTTACTATTATAATTCCAGTATTTATATCTACTATTATATAATAATATTTGAAATATTTTCCCGTTTGTGACTGCTTTTCCGAAGGTACAAAAAATGAAAATTCTATATATTATTTCTTTATTTCTTTAATATTATAACTTTTAGCGTATGTGCGGTGTAATGGATATGCATTCGAAGAGTAGCGGTAAAGTTTCATATATGTAATATTGTATTGCCATGATTAGAAAAGTCATTGTACGAGACACGAGTGTGTATGTATTATGATAAATGTCTTTTCATTATTTGTCAACTGCTTTTATTTTCACCGAAATTTTGATAATACGTAGCGAAATATTTTCTCAGATCGATGCATCAGCTTTCCTTGCACTCTATTCCTTGCATGCTGCGTGTAAGTACATTATTGCAAGTTATATCATCCTTTCCTTGTAACATTTGTATTTATATATATGTATGTGTCATATGTTTATGTAAATGCAGTATTACGTGGTAAGGGTAGGAGTGACAAATGCGAGTGATCATAGTTATCTATTTTTTCCTTTTATACAAACAAATCCTTTCGTATTCTTTACTGCATGTTCATCATTGTGAATGTACAAATGAAAAGATGCCACATATTTCTTTAACTCGAGATCATATAAAATAATTCAATCGTTCACCCCCGAAATCAAATTGAATATGAAATTCTTTGACATTATTAACAAATTTCATTTCATGTTCCAAGTTGATGCTTCATTATTATATTGAGTTAAAGAGATATTTGCAACTAAAGAGAAAATAGCATTATGTTCTCTCTTCATCGTTAACATTAATACCACTTAATAATAATAGTGATAATAATAATAGTAATAGTAATAATAATAATATAAGTAATAATAATAATAATAATACGATGTCAGAATAACCGTAAATAGTGACTGACTGATTGTATCTATATGTCTGTTCGCCCATAGTGGACATGGATCAACGCGTTGGCCGGTATCGTCTACTGTCTGATGGAGGGATGATAGATCTTTTGTGAGCACATCGTTCATCACCCTTATTCATCTTTCAACTACCGTGTCATTGTTTATCTTTAGTTATCAGACAAAACATCATCAAATGTACAAAGTAAATGAACTGATAGGTCTCTGCCATATTTGTTTTTTACGTTTAAGGTTTTAACAATGCGAAACTTGTTCAGAAAATATTTCTTCTTTTTTATTTTTTTTTTATTTTAATTATTTATTTTATCACGAATTATTATTTTGTAGCAACAAGAGAAATTAGATTATTTGATTTTATATTATTATAATAATAATAATAATAATAATAATAATAGGAATTAATTTTCTCGAAAAGTTTCGAATTTATTTTTAAGCAAACACCGCGAGTGTTGTGTCAATCGACGCAGGAGGTAACCCAGAGAACGTTTTAAAGTTGTTAGTTATAAATGAAAATTCATTAATATATTTTTACGTACAAAGCCCCAAACTACGTTGCGTTAGTTTAGAAAGAAAAAAAAAAAGAACAAGAAAGAATAGCAAAGCAAGGAGAACATTCTCATTTATGGACATCCGTTGTTAATAATCTGCCCGTTCAAAATAATATTAGTAAAGAGACAAATGAAGTATTAACGAGATATATATTATAATATATATATTGCGTAGACGGAAACTGAGAGTTAACAAATAAATTTATTTATTTACATTTCTTTTATTCTATTTTTTTTTTTTTTTTTATTAGGCAGAGCAGTCTCTATTAGAATTGTGTTGTAATATTTTTGAAAACTAATCGTGGATCAAATTGTGCGTAAATTTGAATTCTATTTATTTGTCGCATATCAATATTATATAAATCGACAATTTTTCAAATGATGTCAGCGTGTTAGAAAACCGTTCTTGTAAGATTTGTCAATGGCAAGATAGAGAGAGACATCGATCGCTAATTGCTGAAGAAGAACGAACAAAAAAAAAAGAGAGAGAGAAAGAAAGAAAGAAAAATAATACGTGGGTCTGCTGCACCGTCGTAATGAGAAAAAAGAAAAAACACGTATCATGGTGTAAACTAAATGGACTGATTACGAGAAGAAAATAATGTTGTATAGATCAAGACTATTTTCTTAAATAAGGGATAAATATCGTAAGTCAATAATGCGCGTCGAAAGAAAAAAAAATGAATGGGATGTACCGATAAAATATTTCGACTTTCAAACAATTTTTACACGTGATCCTTTTGATCTCTACCACCCCCATACATACCTACCATCCCTCCATACCCTGTTTTCGTCAAATTTTCATCATTCTACCTCCGCCCCCCCCCACCCCTTACTTTGATATAAGATTTATTTCTTTCGTTAACGAGATATAGATTTTTCTTCTTCTTCTTTTTGTTCTTTTCTTTTTTCTTTTTCTTTTTCTTTATCAATCGCATAC